GTCACTCTCATCATCATTCCCATCATGTTTTCCAGAACTGCAGGTCTTGTCACCCAAAGAGCTTTGCCGGCCGGACGCAATTAAGCCCTCCCCCCCCCACCCCCTTAGTCCTGAACAGTGCTGAACAGCAGCAAAAACCCTTGATTTGTGCAGTAAAAACACATGAAATCACACGGCGCCCAATGCGCCCGCTACCAATTATTCAGACACCTATAGTACACCGTAAACCCTGAACCAAACACTACTGTGAGGTCAGGTTCTGCCTCGAGCTGAGGGTTTAGCTTCTGTTTTGTACTTGAATTTACCTTCTTTCTATGTAAATGGAAAAAACAGGGTTGTGGTGTTTCCGCTTTCCCGGGCTTTCCGGGTTGGGGGGTTTAGGTTTAGAGAGTATGGGTTTTGGGGTTTGTGGATTCAGGACTCGGTCCACAATCACGGCCTGCGACCCTGCACCAGACACCAGAAACCTGCAGCCTTTCCGATCCCAATCATTCTTCTCTTTATTGGTTGGGGGCATCAAAAACTGAATTGGATTTTGGCAGATTGCAGTATACTTGTATCCCCGTAGGGTAGTCTACATTAACCGCAAACCTTACAGCCTACAGTTCCATCACAACAACCCAACTTAAATTAGGCCGTGAAGCCAATTTCAATTATACATCAATATCCTGAAGACTAATCCATGAGCCCTACAGACTAATCTGAAATCCGTGTAAGCCCCGAATGTCCCGAGTTCCTGCAAGTGCCTCGTGATCCTGAATGATCGCGTGCGAACCGATTAAGCTACCATACAACCGGCCCCAACCCCGGCAACAGCATGACTCGCTTAAAAACCCTAAGGCCTAAGCCCTGCCTGAACTCTAAAACGACACCGCTTAGGGTTCCTTATCTGACCTAGCATATGTGTTTAGGGTTTAGAACTCTATCATTCTGTGCTGTGGTGGTACAGGCCAGCCCAAAACCGGAGCAGAATCGTCTGAGGGTCCCTGCCAGTCCTTCTTATCGGCCGACCAGCCACGATCCTCGGCAATCCCTAAACCGTGGATCCGGTTTAGGGGTTAGGGTTTAGGGTCTAGGGGTTTAGCGTTTAGGGTTTAGCGTTTAGGGTTTAGCGTTTAGGGTTTAGGGTTGAGGGTATCCGAAACCCGGAACCCTAAACTCTGAACCTCAAAACCTAAAAGACCTAAACGATCCCTAGGGTTCCTTTAAAGGTTTCTTTAAGGCTTTTAAGGCTTCCTGAAGGGTTCTTGTAGACGGCTGCTATAAGGGTGTACTACATTGGCTCTAACATTAGCATACGGTCCAGAGGGGTATGCTAGAAGTATACCGAATTCTTCCGACATGTACAGTAGGGGATACGGGATGAGGCTTTGGGGGCTTTGGGCGGTTTAGAAAAACACGCAGGCTTTTGCTTACCGTGCCAACTAGGGTGTTTTGGCTGGGGGGGGGTTTAGGGTTAGGCTTTAGCGTCATGGGGTTAGGGTTTAGGGTTTATGGTTGAGGGTGCGTTCTATCAGGTAAACTCTCCTTAACTAAGGAGTATTGTATCGGGTAGGCTATTGGGCACAGGCCCTCGGCAAGTAACTGTCCGGCCGGACTGAAACCTTAACTTGTCCGGGGCTTCGGACTTCTTGATTGTAGGGGTTTCTTTCAAAAGCCTGCCCAAACCCTGAACCCTAAATCCTAAACTCTAAACCCCAAACCCTAAACCCTAACAGGGGTGCTGGGCTTCTGCGGGAAAAACTCCAGACCCTCAATCCCAAAACCCTTCCCTCAGGCCCGGGCCGCGTTCTCCAGGCCCTTGTCACAGTCGAACATGTCCTCATCAACCTCCTGGTCGGTGTCCCAGCACCTTCAGCATGCTTTAGAGACCCTGTAATAGTGACTATAAGGATTATATTAGGGCCCTATTATATTCTAAATATACCACTATTACAGGGTGGGGGCCCCTTCTAAAGCATGCTAAGCCCGATCCCGAAAGCCATAGGCCCCCGAAGCCCACACCCTCCATCCCTTCGGCCCTAAACCCCCTACAATGTAGGGCCAAGAGTCTCCTGAGACACTGTGGCCCTGGATTTCGCACAAGGCCACGAACGCAGGATGGTTCCCACATGATTATTACCCGAGGATTCAGTCAAAAACAGCTGCGATAAATGTGGATGGATATCTTAAAAACTTAATAAAATACACATGGCCCCGTGCCAGTACTGGAGTCAATGCACACCGGCAACACTTCCCCAGACTGCCGCACTCTTACGCAACAGTAAGAAAAGCTACCCCAATCACGAAACCCTCGAAGAGCCTAAAGCCCTAAAGCCTTAGCCGTCGTAAATCCAGACCACATAGTCAAAATGAATCCGGAAAGGATCCATGAGCCCACACCAACTCGTCTGAAGTCCCCGGATCCTAAACTAAACCCTAAACCTACTCCTAAACCCAGATCCTAAACCCCAAACCCTGAACCCTAAACCCTAAACTCTGAACGCTGATCCTAACTCCTAAAACCCTCACGAGGCCGGCACCAGCTCTTCTTCTGAAGACTCCAATCATGCTCCTCGGCACACCCGGGCTTTTGATTTGGGTCTGGGGTCGTGGAGGATGTAGGTTTTGGGTTTAGGGTTAAGGGTTCTGGGCTTAGCGTTTAAGGATAGTTTAGGGTTCGAGGATTGAAGTGTGTGGTTTGGGGAGGGGCCCATGGTGGCCGTTTCATCTTCTTTCAGAAAGCACTGCAATCTTACTGCCCGAACCCCAGGACCCCAAAACCCCAAACTCGAAACCTGTGTCGCAGGTTCCTCAAGAACGGAGTCCTACACCACCAGAAACGGTGCTTTGGTGGATGCAGGGAGTTCCCATTGAGCCCAGCCCCCTAATTTGCAGGTTACTATTTGTAAATCCTTTTATATATGTATATATACATATATAGATATACATATATATACACATATATATATATATATGTGTATGTATATATACAGAACTATAGGAACCCACAACTTTCGGTAGGTTAAAGTAGTACACCCTAAACCATAAGCAGCTTACTGTAATGATGTAAAGTACGTTAGGCGGTAGTAGGATCGACCCTCTGGGACCTGACATGTAAACCCCTAAACCCTAAACCCCAAACACTAAAACCTAAATCTAGAACAACCTGGACCCACGAGCGGCCCTGAACCCTCAACGTTAAACCCAAACCAAGGTGTCCGGCTTGTCGGGGTTCCGCGAAAGTTTCTTTCAGTCTACGGGTGAAACAGATCGCCAAGAATCGAGAATCGAGCAAGATCCACTGCGCTCATGCTCCTGCGAAACCCCCACATGTATTGCAAAAGCCTTTCCAACGTACTGTCAGGATCTTGAAGGCGCAACGCATTGCAAGCCACTGCTTCCGTGCTGCCTACATTGGCACAGCTCGGCAAGCAAATTCAGTTAGAAGTTCAGCATCACAGCACCACGGCATGTGAGCTCATGCATCTAAGAACCCTTAACCCCAAACCCCCCAACCCCATACCCTAAACGGCATCTAACCCTACCCTATATTTAAGTCGTAAGCCTAAGTCCTATATCCTAAGCCCACAAGCCTCTCGGTCAGTACTCAAGCTCACAGGTCTCGCCATCATCCTCCGCGCAACTCGTTGGTGAGGCCTGGAAGTCACCCTACTACCGCTTCTCCGAAGCGCAGGATGATGATGGCAGCAATGATGACGGTTATAGTTATGATGGTGATGGTGATGGTGATGATGTTGAATGTTGATGTTGATGGTGATGATGATGATGGTAGTGATGATGATGATGGTGGTGGTGATGATGATGATGGATGGCATTGTGGCGACGGCGGGCGCTGGTAATGATGATGGCCATATTAATGATGATGGTGATGATGCTGGTGATGGTGATGGTAGTGATGTTGGTGGTGATGACGGTGACGATGATGATGACGATGACGATGACGATGATGACGATGATGATGAGGATGAGGATGGGGAGAAGCACGAAGCCCTCAACCTCGAAACCTGAACCCTAAACCCCTGAACCGTTCCTCAACCCCGTGCCCCAAAAGCTTAAACCCTGAACCCCCAAACCTCAAAATCCAAACCTCCCAAAGTCTCAACGCCCAAAGAGCCCTCCAATGGAAAAGAATAACCCCCCGACCTCGAGGCCTACGATGTCTTCGCTGACCTTCCAAAGCTGCTTCGACGCCTCGTCTTTCGGGCTTGGGAATTCGGATTTGTTTGAGGTTTCGAACTGGCTATCTGGCTGTAGTGCCTCAATAATGTAGGAACTTTGAGGTTTAGGGTGAGGGTTTTGGGGCTTATGGATTGGGGTTTAGGGTTGTTTTGTTGAGCCCGGCCGCAGACTCTTATTCCACTCCCCATTCGGGGTTCCGGCGAGCTGTCCGGGGTTTTCAAGGCTTCAGGGTGTAGGATCTTCTGGGTGTTGGGTGCTGGGGTTTGGTGGGTTTCGGGTCTTGGGTGGGCTTGGGGATTCAAGAATCGAACCAATCAAGACATCACCACCTCCTTCTTGGGCGGCTTAGGTTTAAATTTACTCTCAGGTCGCAGAAATCGTCGTGGCTGAAACTTGCTACCCTGAAACCCTTAACCCTAAGACCCTAAACCCCGCAGTATCTGTGGCTGCATGAGGGGAGCATTAGGTCGGAGAGCCTGTTGAGGTTACAACCTGGGCTGGAAGCATGCGTCCAAGAGTGCCCCAAAAATCCTACCTTTCGGGGGTTTTGGAGTTTGGGGGTTTCCGGGTTTGGTGTTCGGGCTTCGGGTTTGGGGTTGAGGGATAAGGATTTAAGTCTCAATTCAGACCCGACACACCAGAACTCCTGCACCCGAGAATCTCGAACGCCCCAACTCCAGCCCCCACCACCCTGCCCACGGGACTCGCCAACACCCACAACCCAGATTTAACCCAAAGCGCTTCCCAAAACCTAAACCCTAAACCCTAAATCCTAAACCCTAAACCCTAATTGCCCCCAAACCCAGAACCCTAGGGTTTCACCCAAGACCTGTTACGCGAGCCTGCTCGTCCAGGCTCACCGCCGGCAGCCAGTTTGCAGGCACCCTTCCGCAGAAGGCTGCCGTGCGGCCACATTTGGTAAAGGCCTGAACAGGGGCAGCAGGGGCAGCAGTGGCAATCAGTCAAAACATGACCTTAAATACCCTAAAGACAAGCTTGAAGCCCGATTTCGAGTGGGGAGCTCGAAATCTGGGCTGCGGCCTTGAAATCCCGGCTCAGGGATGTAATGCAGCGGCCGCCATAACTAGAACGGGGTTTTGGGGTGTATATATATATATATATATCTATATTATGGCATCATGTTTCCGGATGCCAAGGAATGTTGCGGGTACTTCTTCAGCTTTCTATATCTCGTAGTCTTGCACCATAGCAAGTTCCAGGTGTTCCAGGAGTCCCAGAGCTTCCGGCAGTCGTGAGCCGTGATTTCCTAGTTACTGTCGTGTTTCGGTTAGGTTTTGGGGGTTCAGGGTTTAGGGTTCAGGGTTTAGGGTTTAGGGGTTTCAGGGTTGTGCCATTGATGTTGTTGGTTTGGCGTGTTAGTTCAAGGTTGCAGACTCAGCCCTCTACCGTCTTCAGCCCTCGACCAGAGATCGGGAGCTAACACAGAGCCTGTGACAATCACATTCGGGTTCGGGGAGGTCTTAGGAAATGTATCCGTATATGTTTGTGCGTGTGTACATATATATATATATATGTGGCAGGAACCTTTACGTATAATGTGACATGTCCCTTGTGCTATATTACAGGAAGGTCTTACGTGAGAGCATACAGTACGCACCAACACACACACACACACACGCGCTGGCAAATATCCTCGCATGATAGCCCACATACCATGTTCAAGGAGAACATGTACTGGTTGTGGCGCTCAGTCAGTGGCTGGAAAGCCTTCCATGAGGACGACAGCATTTTGCACGCTTGATTCGGAACACAGTGTTTGGGATCAGCATTTGCGCATGCCCTAACATGTAACACATAGAACTTCATAGAACCATGTTTCGCACAGCAGACCGGGCGAGAACTGTGCGGAGACTATGTGCTTCCTGTGATGTGCAGCCAGGGGCTACAAAACGTTCAACAAGGAGGAAAACCAACCCTGATTATGGTATCTCGCTGCGCATCACCGTGCTTGCGCTTAGAATAAGCCGGATGTATCCGCATTATTCGTGGACTGTGATGTTCAGTCGGTGGCTACACAATGACAGAGCTCCCCTAGCTTCCAAGAAGGCAAGTCCTTTACCTCATCCTCGACAAAAAGAAACCAAGAGCTTCGTCCAAGTTCATGAGACAGAAGAGAGCTCCATCTCACAAAAGCAGACAGGCCCTGCCAAACTATCGAGAAAGAAGAGAGCTTTTTGACAGGCCCTGCCAAACTATCGAGAAAGAAGAGAGCTGAGCTCCGCTTGCCGCTCAGTCGGCAAGAAAAGACCTCCTTTCTGTCTAGATAAGGGAGAGATCGAGATCCTGACTATCCCGTTTACTTATTCAAAAAGAAAAACGGAAGAGAGCATACGTTCAAGACAGGGTGGAATGGCCCCCAAGCTCAAAAAGAGACATCTGGTTACCTGGTTCTCCCCCCAGCCTTCAAAACCCAAATCAAGTCCCTCCCTCATGTTCCAAAGCAAGAAAAAATTTCCCTCCAACCTACCTTGTAAGACAGTTGCTGTCTACAAGAACTCTTTGACCTCTTGGTAAATCTCCGTCTCCTCTGAAGCGAACTGAAGGGAGCTCGCTCCTAGCAAAACAAGTCAAAGCCCCTCCAGTCTCAAACACGAACCTAGCTCCTCTACCTCGTCATGGGCAAAGTTTTCTCTATGCGTAAAAGAAGAGATCTGCCGGAAGGTCTTCCACCGCAGCATCTCAAAGAAGCAGAGAGCCCATTCCAACTTCACGAGAAAGAAAAGAGCTCCCGCTGCCTTTTAATCGACAATAAGAGAGAGAAGAGCTCCTTGACGTCCCATGTTCCTTCCTTCAAGAGATAGAAAAAAATAATTTTCAAAAAGTGAGCACAGAGCTCCCTTGACCTTTGTAAGAAGAGTCCGGTCCTCCTCTCAATCTTCAACACAAAACGAACAGCCCTCTACCTCGTCCTCTGGAACAAGGAACGAGCCCAGCTGGTCTTGGCAACAGAAGATTTTTTTCTAGAATAGACTTCCTGAGCCCGTTGCTAAGTTTTCATTTTATCTGAAGAGGAATGAACGGCTCCCACTCCTAGCACGAGAGGACAGAGCTCCCCAAGCCTACAAAAAGAAGAAGAGAGCCTCCTCCAAGTTCATGAGAAAGAAGAGAGCTCCATCTCACAAAAGCAAACAGGCCCTGCCAAACTATCTAGAGAGAAGAGAGCTCTGTTTACCCCTCACTCGGCAAGAAAACCCCCTCCTTTCTCTCTAGCAAAGGGAAAGATCGAGATCCTGATTACTCCGCGGACTTTTCAAACGAAAGACGGAAGAGAACATACGCTCAAGAAAGGGTGGAGCTCTCCCCAGGCTTCAATGGCTTCAAAAAAAAGAAATCTCGTCCCCCCCCCAGCCTTCGAAAAGGAAAGGTAAGTCTCCCCACCTCATGCTCCAAAGCAAGAAGAGAGTTTTCGATTCAAGAAGATTGAAAAGATTTCGCTCCTAGCGCGGGAGGACAGAGCTGCCCTAGCTTCCAACAAGAAAAGTCCTCACCTCATCCTCGACAAGAGGTCACTGCGAGCTTCCTCCAATTTGTTGAGACATAAGAGAGCTCCATCGTAAAAAGACAGACAGGCCCCTCCAAACCATCGAGAAAGAAGACAGCTGCGTTTACCCCTCAGCCGCCAAGAAGAGACCTCCGCTCTTGGTAAGGGAGAAGGATCTTGATTGCCCACTTTGTTTCTTCAAAAGATGGAGGAGGGCATGCACTCAAGAAGAGAGGGTGGAGTTCCCTTCAACCTGCAAACAAGGTAGCTAGGTCCGCCCCTCAATCTTCAAAAAGAAAGAGAGAACTCCTCCACCTCATGCATTGAAACAGGAAGAGCGACCCCGACAAGTTATTCGTGGCAAGAGAAGAGAGCTCCATTAGCTCTTGGAAGTCGCCTCTCAGTCCTCGCTCCCAGCAAGAGATGACAGGGACCCCCCCCCCCGCTTTCAAAAACAACGTATGAATTCTCTACCTTATCATCGAGAACAAGAAGAAAGCTCCCTCCAATTTCGCCTCCTAACAAGTCAGACGAGAGGCCATTCTAACTTCTCGAGAAGGAAAAGAGCTTTGCTTGCCTCTCTGTCGACAAGAAGAAAACTCTTTTCTCTCTTAGTCAGGGGCGAGAGCTCCTCAGCCCCCCTCCTCCGCTTCAAGACATGGAGAGAGCTTACAATCAAGAAAAAAGGATGGAGCTATTCCCAACTTCAAAAAACTTCACAAGAGAAGTCTGGTCCTCCCCGGGGCCTCAAAAGGAGATGAGAAGCCCTGTACCTCATCCTCTGGAAACCGGAAGATAGCTCACTCCAAATTATTCTTAGTACGAGATTAGAGCTTCTGTCTAGAGAGCTCCTTGACCTCTTGGTAAGTCTTCATCTTAATGTTAAGAAGACGGAAGACAGCTCGCTCCTGATCCTAGTAAATATGGACAGGGCTCACTCAGTCTTCCACAAGAACTTATAAGTTCAAAGTTCTCTACTTCATCCTGTACCAGAAGAGAGCTTCCTCCATCATAAACAGAAAGAAGAAGGCCCCATCTCAAGATAGCAGATAGGGCCCGCGAACTTCACGAGAAAGAAGATTTTTCTAGAAGAGACCTCCCTAACCTTTTTGGTAGGCCGTCATTGTCTTTGAAGAAGACTGAAGGGCTCCCACTCCTAGCACGAAAGGAGAGAGCCCCCCCAGCCTACAACAAGAAGAAGAGAGCTTCCTCCAAGTTCACGAGAAAGAGGAGAGCTCCAAATCTAAAATACAGACAGACCCCGCCAAGCCATCGAGAAAGAAGAGAGGTCCGTTTACCCATCAGTCGGCAACAAGAGACCTCCTTTCTCTCTCGGCAAGCGGAAGAAGACTATCTCCTCTTGCTCTTCAAACAAAAAATGGAAGGGAGTGTACGCTTCAAGAAGAAGGGATGAAGCTCCGACCTTAATGGAGACCAAAGCGGTTCAATAGAACCGAATTTTCTTATGGAAACCTTCCGGAAAACTCGGTGCTATCGAACCGCTGTGTTCAGGTCTGGAAAACGCAACCGTTCGATAGCGCAGATTTTCCTAAGGGAAACCATCTAGAAAATTTGGTGCTATTGAACCGCCCTTTACTGTCCTCATTGTCGGAAAACGCAGCGCTTCGACAGCACCAGGCTTGTGAAGGAAACTTTCCGGAAAATGCAGCCGTGCAATACGGCAACGGTGCGTGAAATGAATCACAACTTTCTGTGATTTCCTGGTCAACCGACAAGATTGAGGGAATTCATAAAGGGAAACAGAAGGATTTTTTTGTACAGCTGAGGGAAAACGTAAAGGGAAAATCAATGACGGTTTAGGGGAACCGTAAGGGAAATCGACGACCCTTTAAGGGAAACTAGGGGAATTTTGATTGGATAACAAGGAAGCCAGCCAAACTCGAAAGGGAATCGGAAGGGAAATCCGAAAAGCACAAAGGTTTTCAGAAACGAACAAATAAGGGGAATTTCCCTTTAATTCGGCCTAACCGGCGTCACAGGCCTGTACGAGTGTCAACGCTTGGGAAGGGCAGCAGGGAGGAGGCAGGGCAGGGGCAGGCAGGCACAAAAAGGAAGAGGGCAGAGGCAGTGAGCAGGGGCAGGGGCAGGGGCAGGGCCAGGGGCAGGGGCAGGGGCAGGGCAGGGGCAGGGGCAGGGGCAGGGGCAGGGGCAGGGGCAGGGGCAGGGGCAAGGGGCAGGGCGGCTTCGCTGCCCTCACGCCAGGGGCAGCAGGAACAGGGGCAGGGGCAGAAAAAAGGAAGGGGCAAGGAAAAGGGCGCACAGGGGCGGGGCAGGAGGGGCAGGGCAGGGCAGGGTCAGGCAGGGCGTTTCGAAACTTTCGAAACTTTAAAACTTTTGAAACTATTGAAACTATTGAAACTATTGAAACCCTGCCCACCCTCATCCCGTACCTGTTGAAACTTTTAAAACTTTTGAAACTATTGAAACTTTTGAAACTATTGAAACTATTGAAACCCAGCCCACCCTCATCCCGAAACTTTTGAAACTTTTAAAACTTTTGAAACTATTGAAACTATTGAAACTTTTGAAACTATTGAAACCCTACCCTCCCTCTTTTGAAAGTTTCAATAGTTTCAATAGTTTCAAAAGTTTTGAAAGGTACGGGATGAGGGTGGGCCGGGTTCCAAAACTTTCAATAGTTCTCGGGCGGGCTGCTTCTTGAAACTTCTAAAATTTTTGAAACTATTGAAACTTTTGAAACTATTGAAACTATTGAAACTATTGAAAACCTCATCCCGTACCTTTTGAAACTTTTAAAACTATTGAAACTATTGAAACTTTTGAAACCATTGAAACCCAGCCCATTCTCATCCCGTACCTTTTGAAACTTTTAAAACTTTTGAAACTATTGAAACTATTGAAACTTTTGAAACTATTGAAACCCTACCCTCCCTCTTTTGAAAGTTTTAATAGTTTCAATAGTTTCAATAGTTTTGAAAGGTACGGCATGAGGGTGGGCCGGGTTTCAATACTTTCAATAGTTTTCGGGCGGGCTGCTTTTTGAAACTTCTAAAACTTTTGAAACTATTGAAACTTTTGGCACTATTGAAACTATTGAAACCCCGCCCACCCTCATCCCGTACCTTTTGAAACTTTTAAAACTTTTGAAACTATTGAAACTTTAGAAACTATTGAAACCCTACCCTCCTCTTTTGAAAGTTTTAATAGTTTCAATAGTTTCAAAAGTTTCAGAAGTTTTGAAAGGTACGGGATGAGGGTGGGCCGGGTTCCAAAACTTTCAATAGTTCTCGGGCGGGCTGCTTCTTGGAACTTCTAAAGCTTTTGAAACTATTGAAACTTTTGAAACTATTGAAACTATTGAAACCCAGCCCACCCTCATCCCGTATCTATTGAAACTTTTAAAACTTTTGAAAATATTGAAACCCTACCCTCCCTCTTTTGAAAGTTTTAATTGTTTCAATAGTTTCAATAGTTTCAACAGTTTTGAAAGGTACGGGATGAGGGTGGGCCGGGTTTCAACACTTTCAATAGTTCTCGGGCGGGCTGCTTCTTGAAACTTCTAAAACTTTTGAAGCTATTGAAACTATTGAAACCCAGCCCACCCTCATCCCGTACCTTTTGAAACTTTTAAAACTATTGAAACGATTGAAACTATTGAAACTTTTGAAACTATTGAAACCCTGCCCTCCCTCTTTTGAAAGTTTCAATAGTTTCAATAGTTTCAAAAGTTTTGAAAGGTACGGGATGAGGGTGGGCCGGGTTTCAACACTTTCAATAGTTCTCGGGCGGGCTGCCTGTTGAAACTGCTGAAACTTTTGAAACTATTGAAACTTTTGAAACTATTGAAACAATGCCCTCCCTCTTTTGAAAGTTTTGATAGTTTCACTAGTTTCAAAAGTTTTGAAAGGTGCGGGATGAGGGTGGGCCGGGTTTCAACACTTTCAATAGTTCTCGGGCGGGCTGCCTTTTGAAACTTCTAAAACTATTGAAACTATTGAAACTTTTGAAACTATTGAAACCTTGCCCTCCCTCTTTTGAAAGTTTTAATAGTTTCAATAGTTTCGATAGTTTCAATAGTTTCAAAAGTTTCAAAAGTTTTGAAAGGTACGGGATGAGGGTGGGCCGGGTTTTGAAAACTTTCAATAGTTCTCGGGCGGGCTGCCTTTTGAAACTTCTAAAACTATTGAAACTATTGAAACTATTGAAACTTTTGAAACTATTGAAACCCTGCCCTCCCTCTTTTGAAAGTTTCAATAGTTTCAATAGTTTCAATAGTTTCAAAAGTTTCAAAAGTTTTGAAAGGTGCGGGATGAGGGTGGGCCGGGTTTCAACACTTTCAATAGTTCTCGGGCGGGCTGCCTTTTGAAACTTCTAAAACTATTGAAACTATTGAAACTTTTGAAACTATTGAAACCCTGCCCTCCCTCTTTTGAAAGTTTTAATAGTTTCAATAGTTTCAAAAGTTTTGAATGGTATGGGATGAGGGTGGGCAGGCTCTCAAAACTTTCAATAGTTCTCGGGCGGGCTGCCTTTTGAAACTTCTAAAATTTTTGAAACTATTGAAACTTTTGAAACTATTGAAACCCTGCCCTCCCTCTTTTAATAGTTTCAATAGTTTCAACAGTTTTGAAAGGTACGGGATGAAGGTGGGCCGGGTTTTCAAAACTTTCAATAGTTCTCGGGCGGGCTGCCTTTTGAAACTTCTAAAACTTTTGAAACTATTGAAACTATTGAAACTATTGAAACCCTGCCCTCCCTCTGTTGACAGTTTTGATAGTTTCAATAGTTTCAATAGTTTCAAAAGTTTCAAAAGTTTTGAAAGGTCCGGGATGAGAGTGGGCCGGGTTTTGAAAACTTTCAATAGTTCTCGGGCGGGCTGCCTTTTGAAACTTCTAAAACTATTGAAACTATTGAAACTTTTGAAACTATTGAAACCCTGCCCTCCCTCTTTTGAAAGTTTTGATAGTTTCAATAGTTTCAATAGTTTCAAAAGTTTTGAAAGGTACGGGATGAGGGTGGGCAGGGTTCCAAAACTTTCAATAGTTCTCGGGTTGAGGCCGAACTTGCAAAACTATTGAAACTATTGAAACTTCTGAAACTATTGAAACCCTGCCCTCAAGAAAGAGAAGCGTCACATAATACATAAAGGTTTCTCTTACATATATATATATATATATATATATATATTTACGTATTCGTGTATGAATGAATATATGTACGTATGGTAGGCATGTAGGCCTGTAGGTGTGTAGGGGTATGTGAGTATGTTAGATATGATATGTATATATATATATATATGTGCATAGAAACATTTATGTATTAATCTACACACACGCATGTCGTATATGTAGGTTAACGACAGGGATCACTGCTACTGATTATTGTAACATTGCCATACACCTCAACACCTTCAACCCTAAACAGACTCTCAATGTAACGGGCCTTAATGATCAGACTAGGTTTGGGACATTGTAAGTGTGAGGCAACTTTTAGGGTATACTGCTTTTTGATGTGGGCTTCTGGTGCCAAATCGTCACTGAACCTTAAGCCTTAAGCCCTAAACCCAAAACTCTTTGCCAGTGCTCTTGCAGTGGAGCTGCCGTCTCTGTGTCGTCGAAGAGGCCACCTCCACTGGCCTGCAAAGGGCTTCAAGGTGTCAAAGCTCAACTGTCGGGGCCTTAATGATGACAACAGGGTTCGTGGGTATGTTACAGTGTACCTATATCTACATTTATCTACGTCTAGAATATCTATAACATCTATATCTATATATAGGGACTATAAGGGCATAAGATGATGAAGTATTCAGACAGTACTCATACTAAGTCACTAAGTAGTCTTCTTTTTCGGGATTCCGGAGATACATTTAATTAATGAACGGTTGCTGAAGGTTGTTGGTTTAGGCCACTGCTACCCAAGAGGCTTCCGCTCGCTTTCTAAAGTTGGAAATCCCAGATGATCCGCGTTTTTGAGGCTAGGGTTGAGGTTGTGCGAGATCTACAGCAGCGTCGTGCGAGATCTACAACTCTCCTATGGCTTTTGCCCCTAAACCAAACCTGCACTTTTTCCGCCTCCAGCCTTTACATCAACATCCTCAACCCGAGAAACCTAAAAACAAAACGACACTGAAACAAGCCCCGAAACCCTACCAGGCCCTACCAGAACTTGCCCTGCACCTCAAACTCTGAAACCCCAAAACCACCCCAAAACCCCAACACCCCGCAAAACCCAAACCCACTACCCGCAAATCCTCAATCCCAACACTCAAGAAAGTCCACACCACACCCGCAACCCCAGAGCCCCAAACCAACAGATCCCCGACGCCTCCAACGCCGGGCTCGTCGCGACATGGAGGATCGCCCCCGCTCCGTGCTGCACGGACCTCATGGTCATCTCCCGAAATCGAGTGCCAAGGAACCCAAAGACCTGGCCGGAGAGGGCGTAGGGTGTAGGGGTTAGGGTTAGGGTGTTGAGGTCTGGGAATTAGGATTATGCCTTAGAGTCTGTTGCTTGTTCAATGTTTCCTTTTCTTTATGGTCTAGCATGTCCGCTGAACCCTCCAGTTCTTTTCTCCACAAGCCCTTCTTTGAACCCCAAACCCTACCTAAACCCCCAACAATACTACCAAAAGGAGGGTTCTTTCGGGTTCAGGTTACGCCTAAAACATAAACTAAATCCTAAACCTGCCAGTCATTTTCCCCCACACCCTCCCGCCTTCCCTGCAATCCAGACCGGCGGAAGATATGACATTGCAGAGCGCTCTGAGGTGGCACCCAGGGACTTCTGAAAGTCGGTGAGGACCTCAAGCTTAAACTGTTTAATGTAGGAGCCTTAATCATTAGAATAGGGTTTGGGGGTTTCTTTATACTATAGTTCTAACAAGGACTCCCAAAATAGTATAGGTAATTGTTAAGGCCCCTATAGTGGGGTTTGGGGTTTGGGCTTAGATTTAGCGTTTAGGGTTTAGGGCTAAGGGGTTCAATTATCCAGCTACCAGTAGGGGAACTGAACAAACTTTTGGGCTCATCCGTAAATTCTACTACCCCCCAAAGCTCACAAAAGCCTACTTACTCTGCTACTCAGAGACGGTGTTTGGGTTGATCGCATGGGAGGTAACGCCATCGTTTTCGGCCGCGTTCCGAAGGCGCCTTTCCAGCTCCAGGCTAAAGGTGAGGCTGGCCAACTTCCTGGGTCAAGGCTAGGGTTTAGGGTTTAGGGTTTCTCGTGAACTTCTGTTTCCAGTTTCCAGAAAAAGAGGATCTAGCTAATCATATGCCTTGGTTCTTGTCCCTTCGACCCTAACCCCACATCCCTAAACCCTGGAAACCCAATACCCTAAGACCCGAAAGCACTAAACCCCAAAACCCTTACAACCCCGAAATCCTGGCACCCTAAAGCCCTTAAACCGAACCGAAACCTTAAAACCTAACCTTCCCGCCCTCCAACAAAAACTTATTGAACCTTTAGAAGGACCCTACCTAAAGGAACCGTATAAGCACCATATAGATTCTTTCGGACCGCCCAAAAAGGCCCAGCCCCCATCCTTAAACCCAAAACCTTAAACCTCGTACCCTTATAGATCCCTAATGAGCCCCCCAACACGAATTCTTAGCCCTATCCTAGCCCCATTATAGATCCTATGTGGACCCTGAAAGGAACCCTAAGCCTTTACAGATCCCTTCCTTGGGGACATAGACCCTCTCAATAAGGTCCTTTTCAAGAGAGCCAGAAGTAGTGTTAAGAAGGGTTCCCTTTTAAGGGGTCTCCCTAGTACTGCCTAGGATTATGGACCCCCACCAAAAGCCCTATACTTCCCTTATAGAGCCCTTTAAAGGGACCCCTCTAAACCCTAAACCCTAAACCCTAAACCCTAAAACCCTAAACCCTAAACCCTAAAACCCTAAAACCCTAAACCCTAAACCTGCTGATACTCAGCAGGAAGGTCTCTGAAGGGGTCCTCATCACGAGCGGAATCCCCTGAAGTAGCAGCCTCCATGAACCCCGAAAGGAACGTCGCAACCACTACCTCGATCGAATTGAGGCGTCTTTTTTCACGCACTTGAGCCATGCCGTCGGTTGTACATGTTTGGCACACTGCTCTACTTTCGGAAGACTTCATCATTTACACTGCACATGTCTGTCCACACGCACGACTGAGTTGAACTCTTGCACTCCTCCTCGGCTTACGATCAGCCCTCTTCGGGAGCCGTTAACACATAGAGTCCCCTTGCTCTGTCGCAGTAGTGGCACAGATCATATCGCTTTGACGCTGCACCAGCGTTCCGCTGCCCATGACAGTAGCTGGTCATACTTGGGACCGTTGTGTCTCTACTAACAGCTTAGCTGCTTTAACATGACTTAGCACACCAATTGCTAAGGCCTTGCTAAGTATTTAGCAACTTCTATAAAATAGACGAAAATAATACTTTTTGCGGGCCCAGAACGGCTAAGGGAGGAAGAAAAACCTTGCAAAAAAATTGTGCAACCCGTGAACACACAGAACGCCCAAATGCTTTTGCTGGTGAAGTGGAATCAGGACGAAGACAGTGTGTAGCTGTTGGTTTACGATTGTGTTCAAGAAAAACATGAAGAAATCAGCACGGTATATTGAGCCTGAGTGCCTCAAGGTGTTAAGTTCAGCAATTCAGAGCTTTAGGGTTTGAGATGTGAGCTGGAAAGCTGGCGGTCATGCACAAACTCTGATCACGTTTATTTCAAGCAGGACCTCGGGACTGCTTCTTGATTCTTGGGCAGTTCGCATGTTTTGCTTGCTCGTGTGTAACGAGGCCATGCTGAAATCTGCAAAGCAATGTGCGACGAAGCAAACTATTGTCTGGCTCAGAAGCTTTCCTAGACAAGGACGTATACATGGTCTATAGAGTGTCCTGCTGCGCAGTATCGGGTGCTGATGCTGAAAATTAGTTTTGCAAAACAGGGTGCTTGCCACGGAAGGAAAACGTGTTATGGGGTGAAGCACTCTTTGTGCTGGAGATTGAAGCACTTATGTTCTGGGATGGAAGCACTTATGTGCTGGAGATGCATTGCAAGCACTGTCGTGCTGGGGATGGAAGCACTGTTGTGCTGGGGAAAAGGAAGAAAACTGCACTGTGTCATGAGCTCTTAACATCCATGCAAAATATGCGATCTTTTGGCCAGGCCGAAAGGACCAAGGAATCAAGATTCTCACTCGCTGGCCCTCTGCAGCCCAGATAACTGGACACAGGATCTTTTCAGTAAGAACGAAGTGGAAAGACGCTGTGTCCTGGGCCAAAGCTGAGTAGGTGGCCGCATCGTACTCGACAAGGTCAGAAGTGCGGACCACAGAACAAACCAAATCCGCGGCCTCGAAATGGCACTCAACCTTGGCAATCTGCCAGCCCCACTGGTTTTCCTGCTGGATCAAGACATAATCCTTCTGGTGCACCTGGCCCCCTGTCTCCAGCATGGCAGCGGCAGCTGTCCAGATATGGTCCTTGGCGATGGCTGCCTTGAAAACAGACTCGCAGAGGTACTTGTGGAGCTGGGCACTTGGGTGTCGCTTCTGGACCAGGTGGGCAGATTCCTCGAAGCTGTCCGATGTCTGCACAGCATGGATGTCATGGGCCAAGACTTCTTCGAGCAGGCTCTGGCTGAAGACTGGTATCTTCATCATGTTGGTGGCGTACATGGTCACGACTTTGTGCTTTCTTTCCAGTGGCCAGCAGTTGGGAAGGAACCCCATGGCCTCCAGCTGAGTGCTCAGATGGAGCATCCAGTGGTGCTTCCGCACCATGGCGGCCTCGTTCCCAGCACGCTTGAAGATGGTGAGGGCATCTTGGACCTGGTGCCTGCAATCTGTCGAGGCGAAGCTCAGTACAAGTAAAATTGGACAAACTCAAATAAAGCTGCGTTTAGGATACCTGCACAAAACATCTTCTTGTTGCGGCTGGGATGCAGCAACTGGGCTGGAGACACTGTGCCCATGTGGGTGGCTTGGAGCATCTCCTGGACCTGGGCCATGGCCAGAAAGCTGTGGCACTGGTCCACCTGGATCCCTGCTGGCAGCCAAAGGCGCTGGACCATGTACTGGAGCAGCGTGGTGAGGCCCAAGCACTCACTGGCTGTGCATTTGAACCTCTGGTTCTCCCCGTAGAACTTGGTTCTCTTGGGAGTGAAGAGGTCATGGAGCTTGCCAGCCTTGGCCAATGCGCCTGGCATGGTCCAGAGTTGGAGAAAGCTTTCCATGTGGTCCCATGCATTGGTTGTGGAAAGCAGCAACCAAATGGACTTCTGCATGACACCTTGGGATGCCATGGTGTGCATCCAATCATGGATGTAGCCAGAAACTGGGCGCAAGATGTTCTGGTCCAACAATGCCTGGCCATGGTTTAGGGTTATAGGCATAGGGTAGGGTTTAGGGTTTAGCAAAAAGCAATACAAAACCCTACCTTCCTTTATGACGGACACAAAGACTTCTTCAAAGATTGAAGGTTTACAATAGGGGTTATAGGGCATTGGCAGGAACCTGGTCCAGCAGCATGGAGTGCTGGTTGTGGGTGATGCCAGCTGCTTGTTGGTACATGGCGAACTGGTCCTTGGGCATTGTCCTCGACAGCCTCTGGCAGGTCTGGAAGGCTGTCAAGACTTCCTGGTCTGTGGCCAACTCACACTCGCTCAAGTGGGTGACATTGGAACCTGGAATGTCTTCTTCTTCCAGAGTGGCTTCGGTGTGGATGGCCATGCTCCTTATGTTGTTGCATAAAATGCAAAATTTGGTTCCGGAATCTCCTTTTGTGGAGAAAGTCTGCTTCATGGCCAGGCCATCCTGGATCCACCCGCCCATGGTGAAGAACAGTCGGATGTCTTGCGTGGAGTCCGTGGCGTGTGGCAGACACAAGCCGAGTCTGGGATCTGCAATCTTGTTGCAAAAGATGGATCTCAGTAGCTTGGAAAATACCTGGCTAATGCCAGCCTCCAGGCTGGCGACTTCGCTGCTTCTGGCAATGGAAAGCAGGAACCATGTGTCCTCGTGCTGGAGCTTGGTGTGGAACTCCTGGAAACTGGCATAGATGGCCCATGTTTTTCTTTCCAGCCTGTGGCCTAGTTGGTTGCCTGGCAGAACCTCGTCGCTATACAATAGCAACCGCCACGGGGACTCGTAAGAACTCCCAGAGGACGCCCGCTTGATTTTTTTCAATCGGCCGCTTGATTTTGGAGGCACACGAAACTTCTATTGAATTTGAGGAAATTTCAATCGTTTGGAACTTTTGTTGGTACGTGTTTCTATTGATTTTGAGTGTTGACTTCTATTGATTTTAATCGTGGTCTTTCTATTGATTTTATGGAAAATTTCTATTGATTTTATGGAAAATTTCTATTGATTTTATGGAGATTTTCTATTGATTTTGAGGTGGATGTTTCTATTGATTTCAGCTTGCTGAAACGACGGCCCGGGCGGCCCCAGTTTGCTAACCAAATAAATAGAGAGAGAGAGAGAGAGAGAGAGAGAGAGAGAGAGAGAGAGAGAGAGAGAGAGAGAGAGAGAGAGAGAGAGAGAGAGAGAGAGAGAGAGAGAGAGAGAGAGAGAGAGAGACAGAGAGACAGAGATACAGAAAGACGGAGGAGACAGACAGAAGAGATGGGATGTGGGCCGGACGGCCCCACGAAGGGAGAAGGCGGGGGAATCATTTTTGGCAGGTTCGTGCATGGCAGCCGTCTTGCAACCAAAGCTTCCAGGGGCCGGACGGCCCTAAGAAGGAAGAAGGGGGGGAATCATGCTTCAAATCTCGTGCATGGCAGCCGTCTTCAAGCCAAGCTGCCAGGAACTTTGGGCTAGGTCAAGATGCAGGGCGATGATGAAATTGTCGTCCAGGCCTATGCCAAGCTGCTTCACGCCAAGGTTCCAGGCAAAGTCGCGAGGTCCTTGGTCGTGATGTGGCGGAGAGGTTACCTAGACCAGCTGGAGATTCTTGGCATGAACACATATACATATACATATATATACATATATATACTTATACATATGCCGTATATAGACTATGTATTTAATTTTTTACTTATATAGAGCTAAGGGATGTCGACAAGGAAGTGGGCTTCCTGAACTTTTTGGAGTACCTCATGTACAAGATCGAGAATGATATGGACATCGACCCCGAGCGCTGGCCGGAGGCGACGAAGCACATGAAGATGAAGGAGCACGGGTACATCCGCTTGTTGCTCAACGATGCTTCATTGATCGCTCTCCAAGCAAACCCAGGCCCCTTGAGCCGAATGACGAAGCCTCAACTACTTTCGGAAGCAGTGCGGGTGGGGCTTAAGGTACACCAGTCCTGGAGCGACCAGGAGTTGCGGGCGAGGATCATCGAGCACGTGGACGCTACATTTTTTTGAAATTGAGCCGCCCGTGCGCCAGGTCCGAGGATCTGACCAGTGCCAGGCGGCTGGGAGGTGAGCTCCAGGACAAGCCTCAAGTTTCCAAGATTCAAGGGGTCGTTTGTTAGAAGCGGCTTAATTCAAGTGCTAATCCAGGGCAGGCTACTGCCAGGGTATAATTCAAGCCGAGATCGATCAAGCCCTGCTTGACATGCAAAATTGTCTTGGCGAGAAGAGGACCTGAGCTGAAGTTTTTTTTCATAGTACGCTGCATGCTTCAGGCAGGCCTAGCCAGGTCCTGGGCTTCAAGCTCCAGGCAGGTCTGTCGGGTTTAAGTGCTGCAGGCCGCCAGGCAAGTCCTCAGGTTCTTAGAGCCATGGGCAGCCCCGCAGCTGCTGGCCGCGGCGGCGAACGCAACTTCGCCAAGCCGGAGGTGGACCAGGAGCACTTGCTGGACGTGTTCAAGAAACACGTCAAGCTCCTAGGTGTCCAGGCCGCCTTCAACTTCGACCCCTACGGCAACCTAGCCAAGACGAGTGCTGTCCAGGCCAAAGGGCTTTCAAAGGCGACGGTTTTGCTCAAGAAACTCCAGGAGGTGGAGAGCGGCTTGGCTTTCAAGTACAAGGACTTGAAGGAGTGCTTGGCCAAGGTCAGCAAAGACTACCCGGACCTCATCCACCAGGCCCCGCTGAGCAAGCAAACTGCTTGGGCTGGGGACACGGCCGAGATGCTGCTGACCGTCATGGCTCATGCTCGCCGCTTGTGCAACGACACCAGGTTCAAGGAGGCTTGCAGCAAGGCGACCCAGTTCGAGATCAAGGATCTCGAGGAACTCAGGGCGCTGCTTCTTCCAGAAGTGTCGGCCTCACCAGCCAAGCTCCAGCAGGCGGAGACCCACAACACCAAGCGGCCGAGCACAGGGACGCCAAGCCCTGCGACCAAGCCGCCAAAGCTACGGTCGTTAGCCCCTGCGAGCAGTCCGCTTCGAAAGATTCGGACCAGGGATCTGGAGCTTCCAGACACTCCCAAGACCGCCAAGACGAGTTTGAGCCAGGAAGCCGAAGGCAGTCCCGTGCCAGGCAGCAAGGCTCGAATCAGGAAGTCTTGGGAGGGCGAGGTTTTGAAGAAGCCAGCTGCAGCCGCTAAGCCTGTGAAAAAGGACAGTGACAAGCCGAAGAAGAAGCCGGCCTCTAATCTTAACATTAGAAAAATATTTTTGTTGTTCGTAAGCATATATTTCTATCTAGGAAGATGTATTTAAGTGAAGCCCTGAATGTTTTCTCCATCATCAGGCCCCCAAGGACAAGGACAAGCCCGAGTTGACGGAGGCTGAAAGGGGCAAGCTGCAGATCATGCACTACCACGACAGTGTCGCATTGAGAGTCGACGGTTCTAGGCAGCTTTTCCAGATCGTGTGCAGGAAGCATGGTCGGGATAAGACCAAGCTTCAGGTTGCCAAGATGAAGAAGAAGCTCGCCGAGGGCGGCTCTTTGGCAGAGGCCTTCAAGGAGAAGGCTAAGTTTTTGGAGTCCTAGTTTCAAGTCTTTTAGTGTTCCAAGCCAGGGCTGGAAGCCCGGTGGCCTCGACTGCATAAGCCAGTATGCATGAGTGAAAAACACATCGACCCTCCAGCTGCATGAGCCTGCAAGTAAAGTTTCAAGGGCTGGACAGCCCTTTTCGGCGGCAAATGCTCCCAAGCGAGATCGATCTTCGGCCGCTGCAGCTCCCAAGCTCAAGAAGCAGCTTTAGGAGTTACTTAGTCAGGCAGCCAAGGAGCTGCCAAGTCAAGCCGGTCCAAGCCATGGCCGGCCAGCAGCCTCGAGGGCGCCCAGGAGGAGCCATTCCCGCGATGGGAAAGGGCCCCCAGCGAAACAGTCAGCCAGGCGGCGCCGGACACCTGCACGCACGTAACAAAGTTTTGCGTTTTTTTTAAGGATTTAACGAAACCGCTGATGTCTATATTTGAAAGCACTCAGACTCAAGCGCCTGGCGAGAGAACTGGAGGGCGCTTTACAGCCAGTACAAGGACGAGGCCGGCCTTGGAGTAACAAGCAAAAGTTTATACATACATTATATATATATATATATATATATATATATATCAAAAAATATACATAAAAATATGTACATATATATATATATATATATATTTGTTTTTTATATGTTTGTGTCCCTTGTTGCGGTCCCTATCTAAGCCCCCATCCCCTAAAACTATATACTTAATGAAAACCCCTGCGGCCAGGGCGAGACCTTCGGCCACTGGCAAAACGATGTGGTGCAACACCTTAGCCTCAAGTTCGACACCCAGATGCCCCAGGACCAGTCGATCAGGTTGTTCATTAACCGGGTATTTGAGCAATCAGGAACAATCGAGTCGATCGACGAATGGCTGGAGGTACAGTTGGATGAAATGAGCATAAAAAGGAGCTGCAGCCAGGAGCCCCAGGATCCCCGCTCATCCAGGAGCCAGCAATCCCAGGAGCTCCACATTAATTGGACCTCCAGGAGGGATGGGCAGGATGAGCAGGGTCAGCGGCCCTGGAGGCAGCCACAGCCACTGCCTGCACCTCCTAAGGGCCTCCAGCTCCAGGGCAAGACGTCGCCACCTCCCAAGCAGCCGCCGGCGAAAGCACCTGCCCAGGAGCAGCTTGACTGAATTTACTTGACCTTTTAATCTTCAAAACCTTTAGCTGTCGTCAAGGGCTGGAAGCCTATTGAAGCCGTCAAGGGCTGGAAGCCCTATTGAAGCCGTCAAGGGCTGGAAGCCCTATTGAAGCCGTCAAGGGCTGGAAGCCCTATTGAAGCCGTCAAGAGCTGGAAGCCCTATTGAAGCTGTCAGGGGCTGGAAGCCCTATTGAAGCTGTCAGGGGCTGGAAGCCCTTTTAGCTGGAAGCACCCCCAAGTAGCAGTGGAAACACCCAAAATTAGCCCTTAAGTTTGAGTCATGATCTCAGGCCCGCTCCGCCCGCTACCCCGGCGACCTCAGTCCCAGCCACCACAGCAGAAGGCGACCTTCCAGGCTTGAATTATCCAAAGTCATGTATAAGCCACATGTAAAACGATTTTTGAAAACCCGTAAGCTTTCTTTGAAATCTCGGCAGCTTGCAGGAGGTCAAGCTGAGACGGAGGATCCCGCTGCCCTCGAGTTCTTGGAAGCCGAACTTGCCAAGCTCCAGGAGACCAGGCTCGAGGTGGCCCACGAGATCTACAGGCGCAACCGCGAGGTCGGATCTTTAAAACATAATTATCATCTACTCTTTAAGCAAAGATTTTATTGTAAAAAAACCTATTATACTGTTTCCTTCTATTCTGAATTCTAGGAATATACGATTTCCAAGGCCCAGCTCCAGGACGAGCAGGAAAACGAAA